GGGCACTTCTAATCAGCTGTAAGGGGTACGGCTGTGGGGAGAGGAGGATGTCGTGTGCCTTTTGTTTCAAGAAAAAGTGCTCTGTGTGGGTGTGGGTGTGCGTGCGTGTTTGTCCCCGTCTCCGTGTGTGTTTCCTTGGCACCGGGAGAGGAGACACGAGCAAAGCTCACGCAGAGTGCCCTTTTTTGGACTCCCGTCTACAATCCCGGCTGCTTTGGGGCTGACTGAGAGCCCCGGCCACCGAGGAGGCGTGCCTTCGCTCGCACACGCACGCACGCAGGTTCAGGGCATACCTTGGGTCCGGCTTACAGGTCACATGGCAGCTGCGTTTCCTAGGATGATGGGGCGAAAGGTATATGCGCGCACACGCACGCACACTTTGCACAGATGTTGCTCTCTGGCACAGGACTCGGTCCATGTGGTGCCCCAGCCTCGTGGATGTCCCTCCCCTAACTATCTTTTTAAAAGTGTTTTCTGAACTCTTTGAAACGTTTCCCTCTGTCCATAAGAAAATGGTTTCCGTTGCAACATCCTTGCAAATCCAGGGGAAAACAAACAAACAAACAAAAAACAACCCCCAAAAACCCCAACAATGAGACCTGACATTGATTTTGCACAATGCATGTTTGTGTTCTGTTTGTAGCCACTGCAAATTCCGCCCCCGTTCTGCTTGGCTTATTTCGCTCCCCCTGTTAACTTGGCTTAACTTTGATGGAGAAAATCTGAATTGGCAATGCCAAAATTTGTGACCATCCTTTCTGAAGCCCTCCTGCAAGCTGATGCGGAAGGGGATGGTGAGGTGTAGACGTAGACATGTATGTGGTGTTTCAGCCATAGGGGCGTGCTCCTCATGCAAAATAAAACCAATAATGCTCGCAGATACTGGCTTATACAAATATATTCTGCCATGGGAATGATAAGAGCCAGACTACTGCTTTGTTTTCAAACCTTTCATCATTAACACTGACGCTCACCTTCCAGTAATCCATCAAGTTCATGTGTCCAAATTCAAGTGGAAGAGTGGATTATATATGTTATTGCTCAAGGTACTGGCCATGATACTGCAAATCTTGAAAACTGCACTTTTTACAAATCAGATCTTTTTAGATAATTAGAACCAACTATTCAGTTTGTTTTCTCTGTTCTTTATTCAGTAATGATACCTTTCAGATACCATCTTGAAAGGGGCAGCGTACATAGCAGGATAAAAAATATATGATTTTATGTGTGAAGAATGTGGTTTAAGAGTAGATAAAGACTTCCTTGGGAAATTAAATTAAAGATGTGTTGGAAGAGGGATCAGCCTTGCTTAATGCCCCAATGGGCGACTGCACCAAGGCTTTTCAGCCTTCTTTTGTCCTCTTGCTCATTTTGTTAATTGACCAAAAGAGGTCGCAGGTTGTCCAGGATTGAATTAGAGACTCAATAAATCTGTGCGAGCCCTTCCACAAAGGGGGAATTGATCAAGCACAATATACTGCATGTTTGGTTTCAGGGTTGGGTTTGTTTGGGGTTTTTTGACACTATTGCAGGAAAGCTTGCTGTTACCTTTTTATTTTACTTTGGTTTTAATAACTGTTTATAGGTGACGAAGTCTGAAAATCTTTGGGATTGTCTGGCAGCCTGTATCAGGAGAATTCAGATTAGGTCTAGCAGAAAGAGGAGGCCTTCTTCCTTTCTGCTCTAGCAGTAACACAGTAGGGTAGCACTGTACACTGTATGTATACAGGCATCTTTTCAGTTGGGGTGAGCTTTTATAGGAAATGCTGAGAGAAGATAAGTAAAATGGGGCAAAGGGAATTAGGGGACAGAAGAAATTGAAGAGAGCAACCCTTTTCCTTCACCACAGTCGTACACCTCTTACTTACGCACTAGTACCAGTGTAATTTGTATTTCAAACTGTGGCATGAACGTTTTTATCAAGCTGAAATTTGATTCCCACCATCAGAAAGACTTTTTTTTTCTTTCTCTTCTTTCTTTTACAGCATTTGTGGCACACCATTTTGAAGTCCTGTTAATACAAGGAGATATTTGCAATGTCACCAAATAAAAGTGGTCGGCTTTTTTTTAAGTACACAATTGGTGAACTTAATATATATTTCTAAATAGCATAAACCAAGGTTACTGCAATGTCAAGGTACTTTGAACAAAAAGCACTCCAAATGGATAATTAACACTGCCAAAGATGTGGCTGAATCACCTTTGCAGTAAGTGAGTAGAAAGCCAGTCGAAGATCAGGTCCGCCTAACAGCTTTGCTGAACAATTAACTGTTTGTACTGTCTTAACCAATGGGCACTGCATTACAATGCATTTATATGAATGACAGAATGTGGTTCAAAGCCTTACTTGGCAATCAGAAGATGGATACCAATGTATCTGGAAAGCCAGATAAGAAATTTATAAAGAAAAAAACAAAAAACTCCAACACACACCTGTAGCTAACAGCTGAAGTGTACTTACAGACCAAACCTTAGTATTATCGATGGAACTCTTCCATGTGGACAAGGCCAAGGGCTAAATATGCAAAGTAGCAATGTTTATAAAACTGTATCAGATCTGAACTTCTACATTTAGATTTACTGTTTATTCTAGAGGCTTTGCGAATTTTTTCCTGTTTATTCAGTTTTACTGGGAGAAGAGGGAGAGACAAAAATCATGTAGGGTTTATACTGAACCTCTACAGTCAGTTCTAGATGATGGAGAGCAGAAGAGGAACGACTGAAAGGTGCTGTGCTTCAGATCTCACATCCTCCTCCCATTGCTCTAGAGAGTGAAAGTGTCATTTATGGAAGCACAAGAAGGATGCACTTTATTTCGCCTTCCACTTTATCCTCCCGCCTCCTTCATATTCAGCTTGCTCTCTCTTCTTTCTCTCGTGCATTAGCTGAACTCATACCTTTTGTGTACTTGTTTATTGGCGGCTGTGGTTGCTACAGGGACAAGACATGGGAGCTAGAGTTGTGGCTGAAGTAGCTCTACTTTCCGCTGCATGGTCACATTACATTTTGGAGCAATCCAGACTTTTTAGTGTAGTCCCATTATACTACATATGGTTACACTACCCAAAATTTAACTCTCAAGAATGTGAGCTTCCCTATATAATGCCATTTTAAAACTTGTGTAATTTTGCAACTCTTTTTCAGACCAAAAAAAACCCTTCACAGAAACCTACAGATATATAGCTCATCTTGGGTTGAGGGCTAAATCCACATTTGCAAAGCATCCTTTAATTTGGGTCTCTCTGCTCTTCTTTTTGCAGACTTCGGAGTTTTATCTACAATAAACTTCTGAAGTCAGCAGAAAGTAGGATTTCCTCTATAAGTTCTTGTTTTTCAGAGGAAGAATACTCAGATTTACAATGAAGTCAGTTGATATAATACGTACTTTAAGCTTAATTTAAATGATACTTTCTAGAGCACTGTTTTCACAAAGGCAAGGATTAAGATCTCAGCGTTATTTGTCACCTGTCTGTAAAAATATAGTTTAAATTTCCTGCAGACCTGCTCCTGGTTCGGGGCTAGACATGAACATCTTAGGCGTTTTCCGGCTCCCCCTCTTAAGTCAAGCGTGCAGGCTTATGAAGTAGAAAGCTGTACTGGATTTCTCACAGATGCCACCCTGTGCTGCTTGTCTGAAGATGGAAGTCTGAATTCAGTGTGACAGAACAAACAAGAACTGAATTTGAAAGCAGATAAAATTAGGAAACCAAAGGAGAAATAACAAATCCTTTGTTGGGAAGTCAACTGAATTGAGACATTTTACACGTTAGCAAAGACTTTTCAGGATTTGCCCCTTTCTTTGCTACCTGAGGCATACATAATGAAAGGACATATATTGGCGGTATTACAGAAACAGTTACCAAACACTTCCCTTTACTAATTGAGATGTCTTGTTAACCATAATAGAAGAAGGGAAGATAGCTGAT